CTCATGGACATAAACTGTCTCTGCAGCTCCATCAGCATCACCTCCTGGCAGCCAATCAGAAATCAGGATTTCTTAAAAAAAAAAAAAAAAAAAAAAGAGCAATAAAGTTAAATGATGAGTCAACAGGTTTTAAAACGAGAACAGATATATATATGTATAAATATTAAATATTATAAACGAAAAGATGTTTCCTGTTGGAAGTTTGAAAATTCTACTGTTTTATTGCTTCATCATAAAATATCTATTCCCGTTTTAAAACCTGTTGACTCATCATTTAACTTTATTGCTCTTATGTTATTGTGTGACAGTTTAAGAAATCCTGATTTCTGATTGGCTGGCAGGAGGTGATGCTGATGGAGCTGCAGAGACAGTTTATGTCCATGAGTTCCTGTTAGAACATTCAAGTTCTCCATGTTTATAAAATGTCTTCATTTTGTAGATTTCCATAATTGTTTATAATTGAAAAAAAAATGTGAATGTTGAAAACATCTTTTTCTCCGATGTTCAAAGATTCTACCTCTTTTTCAAAATGTCCTCACTTTTTAGAAAAATCATAATTTTTCCAAAAGAGTCCTCATCAATGTCTTGGGGGAGTCCTGCTGTCAATCATCATCATCATCATCTTCATCATCTTCTTCACCATCAGCAGTAGCTTCCTGTCTCTAATGTCTTACATTCCCCCCCCCCCATCAATGAGCTGCTGGGCTCCATTAGCTCTCAGCTTCCTCCTGAGAGGACCTTCATCAGTCAGCAGCATCACAACGCCATTTATTTTACTGGAAACCGCCGGGACTCCTGGGAAAACGCTCAGCGCGCCACGAGTCTCTGCTGTTCGTCCAATTAAAGTTTACATTGAGCCGCTCGGAAATCAAACATCCGCTCGATGACGTGCAATCACCTATTTCTTAATAATAGTAATATTAATCACAATAATCATAATAATGACAGTAATAATCTTAATAATAAAGTGTGCAGTGGACAATAAACACTCTTTAAACAGGCTCATAATTTAAACTCAATTATTAGACAAATTATCATTTCTTTATTCATTAGTCATTAGTCGTCGTTGTTGTTGTTGTTATTATTAATGTCATAATTGATCATTAACAGTATTGTTAATGAAAAGGTTTTATTGATCTTTTCTCTCACGTTTGATATTTAATATTTGACCTGAAGAGGTTCAAACAGCAGAAGGTGAAGTTTATCTGAATATTAAACATTATTTTCACATTTAAAGCTGAAGGAACTTTTTTTTAGTGAGTGAAGCTTCTGATCGATAGAAACACAGACTGACTGATCGATATGTGATGGTTGTGTCAGCTCACTGCCTGAAGACTCCCTCAACACCATGACATCATCATCCTCATCCTCATCATCCTCATCTCCTCCTCATCATCATCCTCACCTCCTGATCATCATCATCCTCATCATCGTCCTCACCTCCTCATCATCCTCATCCTCATCCTCATCCTCACCTCCTCATCATCCTCATCCTCATCATCACCTCATCAACCTCATCATCCTCATTATCCTCATCATCATCATCACCTCCTCCTCACCTCCTCCTCCTCATCATCATC